TCGGAGTAGCGTAATGAGAAATAAAACCAAATCTTAAAACACCTTCCCCCCCACCCCTCCCTTCTTCCTGGGCTCAACTTCACTCCCAAATTCTCTACCTCCTCCCAGCCTCAGTGGCACAGTGGGACAGGGAATGGGGGTTGCCACCAGTTCATCACAAATTGTCTCTGACAATCCTTCCTCCTCATGCTCTTCCCCTGCTCCAGCATGGGTCCTTCCCACGGCAGACAGTCCTCCATGAACTTCTCCAATGTGGGTCCTTCCAACGGGCTGCAGTTCTTCAGGAACTGCTCCAACATGGGTCCCTTGCATGGGGTGCAGTCCTTCAGGGACAGACTGCTCCAGCATGGATCCCCCCTGGGGTCACCAGCCCAGCCAGCAAACCTGCTCCAGCCTGGGCTCCTCTCTCCACAGGGCCACAGGTCCTGCCAGGAGCCTGCTCCAGCGCCGGCTTCCCATGGGGTCACAGCCTCCTTTGGGTATCCACCTGCTCTGGTGTGGGGTCCTCCCCAGGCTGCAGGTGGGGATCTGCTCCACCATGGGCTTCCATGGGCTGCAGGGGCACAGCCGGTCTCACCATGGTCTTCACCACGGGCTGCAGGGGAATCCCTGCTCCAGCACCTGGAGCACCTCCTCTCCCTCCTTCCTCGCTGACCTGGGTGTCCGCAGGACTGCTCCTCTCACATCTTCCCACTCCTCTCTCCCAGCTACTGTTGCACAGCAATTTTCTCCCCTTCTTAAATATGTTATCACAGAGGGGCTGATGGGTTCAGCTTTGGCCAGCGGTGGGTCCACCTTGGAGCCAGCTGGCATTGGCTCTGTCAGACATAGGGGAAGCTTCTGGCAGCTTCTCACAGAAGCCACCCTTGTAGTGCCCCTGCTACCAAAACCTTGCTGCACAAACCCGATACAGCTGGCTGTTTAAACAGTGCGGAAGGTGGGACTGATTTGTGAAATTCTTTTCCTGTGGATCAAAATGCTTTGTATGCAGTCCTTTTGACAGTTAGAAGCTTCTGTGCACTCCAAGGCTTCCTTTTCTCCTTTATTTAGGAATTCTTGATTTTAACATGAGAATATTGACTGTTGCAACCATGGGAAAGGTTATATGGTGTCAATCTCAGATATGATCTAGAAGAAACTGGTACAGAAAAGACTGCAGGCAAATTAATGCATGCTGTCAATCTAAACTCACTGTTGCCAGGCATTTATACCCCGTATCTAAATTATATTAATTTTTGACTGTCCATACCGCCAGCCTGACAGATGACTGGTTCATGTCATAGTTGTGCTTTCTTCTCATTAAAAGATACTTGCAAAAGCATCTTTAAGCAAATATACAAGTCGCACAACAAGAACACGGTGTTTTTCTAGCAAGCTTTGTTCTGCACGTTTCTGGCAAGTTTTTTCACCCCATTCCACATCAATAATGCAACAGCAACCAAAAGGCCATGTAGGCATTTAATCTGTGAGAGCTGAGGGCACACAGCTACCGGCCGAATGCTCTGCAAGCATTCTCTAGCATGTGCTTCCACTCCAGGGAGTTGCCATTGGAGACTCCTCAAAGTCTAAGTTAGATTAATTTTAAAATATAGCACTTTCGACACTAAATAAAACAAACTCTTAGTTTTATTGAATTATATGAAGTGCTGCAGAAAAAAAAAAAAGAGAAAATATGCCTTTAAACTGTATCCTAGTCTCATCTGAAAACAGCTACTAGGAGCAGACTAAAACTTCCAAGTGGTGGCATGTAAAAATACCCTTTGTCCAATTTATAACTGGTACGTATCTACATAAATGTATATATCATCTTTCTTACTGCACCCAACAGAGCTACATAACACTGCTGCCGGCAGGAGAGAAGGAGCAACAAGAGACAGTGCAAGGAAAGGGAGCAGGGCTACGAAATGAAGAGACTAAAGGACAGACAGACTCCATATCTACTTTCATCCAAGGAAAATGGAGCAATACAAATTATTTTCTCCAGTGGTGTCTTCCAGACACAGCTGAAGGTGCCCTGTTTGACTTTGCCCTGTGCTTTGAGACTGCTCACTCAGTTGGACCAACACGCAAATACAGAAAGCAATTATTTTTGTGAAACGTGCTTCAAATAGCGAAATATTATTGACTGTAACTCATATCCCATTATATACACATTGCCAAAGTGCAATTAATCATATGCAAACATTATAAACATTATCATTATCAACATTTAAAATCTATATAAATGCTTTTGCGGGTAATTAATATACGGAAGGCATTCCCTCAGTTAAGGGAAGAGAACACCTAAGGAATAGTATGGTAATCTTATCTTCTCTCAGAGGCAAAATTGTAAAGATTTTAGCGGTGACACTGTCTCTGTAATAAATGTAGGCTGCCTGAGCTAAACACATGAGAATATATATATAGCATGAACTTTTAAATAAAAGTTCTGTTGCCCACAGAAAAATAAAAGGCTTTTTTTCCCTTTTCTTGCTGCTTCTTGTACTTTCTGAGTCCTGAATGCCAGGAAGTAGAAAAAGCAATTAATATTAAAAATTACTGTCATTATATAGCAAATAATATAATATATAATGCCCCTGGCACCAAATCTTAGATAAGAGTTCAGTCCATGAGAGGACGCTACTGGAAATGTTATTGTGCAACTGCAGAAAAAGAGACACAACCCTTGGGTTTGCTTCTCAGTCCCAGGGGCAGAAATAAAAATAGAAACTCCAGGGGGAGCAAGGACAGGAAAGCTCAGAGTGTAAGGAACCGGGCTGCCTTCACCTCTTCCCTCTTGCAATGTTGCAGTAATCTGCTCCTGCGGTTATCCTAAGGGTGTGTCTATTGCTGCTGGAAGGCCCTTGGCATAGCACAGTTTGAAAAAACACCACGCTTTACCAGAGGGAAAAGATACTGAGAGTAATGAAGTGAAAAGATAGCCCTTTCTACCTATGTATATATATCCTTATACTTTATCTGCAGCATTTCTAGAACACCCAAGAATTTAGTCTTTGCATGTTCCTTGGAAAAAGAATTGCACGTAAAGATATGGCAAACGTGTTGCTGGGAAGAAAGATAGCTGCTAGCAAACGGGCTCTGAATTAGGTGACCAATGCGCTGCAGGGGGAAGGACTGGAAAGATCAAGGTGTACCCACGCTGCCGTCTGTGAGAGCTGCGATTGCTGCTGTAAGTGCAGCAGTGCAGATCTGGGTTGGCGCTAACTGCTTCTTGGGTGGGTTTGGCAGCCCAAGCTGCACTCAGAGCTGCTACCGCCGAGCTGCGGGCAGCAGCTGTGAGAGTTAATTTAAGGCTGGCTTGAGCATCCTTCCAGTCTAGCGCTGCCATAGCACTGCCTGCAGTGTACTGTTTAGGCAGTATTACAAAAGTATAGAAGTATTATACATAAAATAACAATTAATGTGCTGTAGATAGATGGGTGTTCCTTTAGCGTAAAACAGCACTAGTGCCAGTAAAATAGAAAGCAAACACATCTAGGACAGACTTCTGCACTTAAGGCATAATTAGCTGATGAAGTTCCCCATTACTACACCCAACAAATCAGAAGGATTCCAAAAAAGGGCAGACATTTGTATAAACTGTGAGAAGGGAGTAAAAGAGGCAAATCACACATAAAAATTGAAAAACAGCAATGCTAAGGGCAAGAGCAAAACCCTCTTTTAACTGTTAGGATTTAGGAAGACTACAGACAATATATTTCATAGCTGTTTCTTGCACCATTTTCTAAATGGTTTGGCATGGGCTGGTCTCAGAAACTGCCAGCAAACTGGAATAGAGGAGTTCCCGGTATGGGATTTGATACAGGAGGTGCTAATGATGCCGGGAATGATCATCACAGTTGCTCAGCAAGCATTCCTCAGACGCGAAGCACATCTACAGATGTTGCTCATGAGCGCAGCTCTCCTTTTGTCCTGAGATGCTGAGCGGTGATACACTCAACAGCTCAATCTTTTACTGTATTGCTTTTATAGTCTTTAAAGGTCTGAATATGCCTTTCCATCTTTTGAGCGGTGCTTTTTCTTTATTGCTTGCATGAGTTGTTCCATTTCATTATCCACCGGCAGAGTAAATCTTCCTTGTTTTGACAGGGACTGTTCTGCTACAATTACCTGCTGTCGTTGCGGTTCAAGTGAAGGTGCTGCCAGCTGGACAGAGCTGTAAAGCAACACGAGTGAAATCCCCAGTGTTAAAGGTTTGGGGTTTTTTTGAAAATACAGGAAGCAATTAGCAATCTCTATATTTAGAAGAGTGCTTGGATTGCAACGAGACACTGCCAGCCTGAGGCTGGGGGCAGGGTTGATGCTTCCCAAACTTCAGAGATGTTTGACCCTTTCATCGCACTTAAAACCTCTTCATCTCATCTGCAAAATTCATAACATATAGGAATACATGATACTTAAGCACAAAATAACATGGGGATAAATTGTACCAGACCTTTCAAGAGTGGTATTCCACATCGTTTTTACAAGGGGAAACGAAAAGTTCATGACAGGTGGCAGAACTGACAGAAAGCGCGTTTCTGATGCGCTGAGCACCTCTTGTCTCAGTTCACCTGAGTAGGAATCAGTAGGCAACAGAAACTAGGGCTTGCATTACAGGTCTGCATCCGAAAACATGGAAAGGGAAGGGAGAGGATTCAGGAGATGGCAGCGTGGGCTCATGCAGGTCACCTCCTCCACTACCAAGGGGTGGACAAGAAACTCCTTCAGGTGCCTGCTGGAGGGACAGTCGGTGGCTGATGGTGACCTGGACTGCTGGAGGAAAGGTTTAGGACATATGGGACACCTACTATCTCCCTAAATATTTGTTCACACACTGTAATTACAAAAAAAAAAAAATAAAATTAAAATACCGCCTCATTTTAAGAAATGAACAAACTCAGCATAGTATTTCAAAGTTACTTTTCAAGCAGATGACTAGAACACATTTGGAGGCTGTCATAACCCTGAAGTATACTACCATTAAACCAGACTTTGCAACCGAACGTGCAGCTTCGGCAATGGATGAGTACAGACCTGAGTACAGACGGTTGACGCCACACGTGAGAGGCCACGCTCCTATGTGTGGGACAGAAGACTTGGCGAAAAAGAGGAATTTCAACTATAACATGATAACTGAAACTAACGAAAATTTAGTGCATTCAGCATGGTTAGTACTTTTTGCCAAATTAGTCTTAGTTATACAAATTATCTTTATTTGCCTTAATTAGGCATAGGAACATTTTTTGACATTTTTGCAACTAGTTTCTAGGGAGCTAGTAAGTCTAGAAATAATCATTAGTATCTGAAAAATGAAAATTAACCTCTTACTTGCTTGTTCCCTCTAGAAGGTTACCGGTTAATCGTAATTGCAATATTCTTTCCTTTTGGCAGACTATAGAGTACAAGCAGAAATATTTTCCTTCTCCAAAGCAGCTCAGTTTCATGGAAACCTAGAGAGATTCCTGTAATTTTCCAACTATCAGAGTCCCCAAACATTTTACTCTTGAACAAGATTATTGGATCCACCAGTTTTGTCTTTAATCTATGTGTTGCTGACAGATGAGCTGGTTTTGTACCCCCTCATAAACTTACAAATTAAACTCCTACACGCTCTCCTGCTTCATGATCCAGTGCTTTGGGACAGTGCTGCCATTAGCTCACTTCAGAACAAAACCATTATTCAGATGAGCTACAACTGCCTCCTCTTCAAACAGCAAACTGCAACTCACAAATTCGCATTACCCTCAATATTTAGCTTAAACACTGAGTACCGCACAATACAAGCTCAAGCACATTCAATTTAACGATATACGGAAGAAATTCTTTCCAGAAAAGAAAAGTGAAATTTCCATCAGAAGTCTGGGGCAATCTTGTGTTAAGGAAGATGTTTTTGATGGGTCTTTTAGAGGCAAATTCATCACCCACTGGCCCTTGCAGCACTGACAAGGGAATACAGGTAACCATCTGAGGAGCAGCATATAATTGCTACTTTATACAGTATAAATAATTGCTTAAGCAGCGAAAAAATAGGGAACTGTTTGTTCCCTAGACTTTAAACTGGACTATTGCTTTTTTAACAGAGAGAGATGTACTGTCGCCTCTCACTGGAATGCATGATCCAGTCCTGAGGCGTAAGGATAAGGAGGCAAGTTAATCCATAGCTCCTAAAGGTAATCAGGGTACCTGAAAGTGCTAACTGCCAAGATGCTTCTAGTGACATACTAGTAGATAGCAAATTCAGGGATAGCACGTGTCATGCCTTTGAAAGGTAGTGTCTGCTCCAGGCCCAGTTTAGGGACCAGTTTAGGGGAAAATATGGAAGTATTGGTGTCCTCGTTTACATGGCAGTAAGAGTGTGCAGGAGGCAGGCTAAACCTTGCTGCCCTGGTGAGACTGCACCTGGAGTACTGTGTCCGGTTCCGGGCTCCCTGGTTCAAGAAAGATGAGGAACTCCTAGAGAGAGTCCAGAGGAGGGCTACAAAGATGATGAGGGGACTGGAGCATCTCCCCTCTGAGGAAAGGCTGAGAGAGCTGGGCTTGTTTAGCCTGAAGAAGAGAAGACCAAGAGAGGACCTCATAAATACTTACAAATATCTTAAGGGTGGATGCCACGAGGACGGAGCCAGACTCTTCTCAGTGGTACTCAGCAACAGGACAAGGGGCAATGGGCACAAACTGAAGCATAAGAGGTTTCAGTTGAATATGAGGAAGAACTTCTTTACTGTGAGGGTGACAGAGCACTGGAACAGGCTGCCCAGGGGGCTGTGGAGTCTCCTTCTCTGGAGATATTCAAATCCTGCCTGGACGATGCCCTGTGCAACCTGCTCTGAGTGAGCCTGCTTGAGCAGAGGGGTTGGACCGGATGATCTCCTGAGGTCCCTTCCAGTCCTTGCCATTCTGTGATTCTGTGGGTTCCCCAACCCTGCACACTTGTTAAATGCGGTCAATAATTGGCCTCAAATATTTAGCTCAGTTTTCTCTCTACCACTCGCATGACGATAGCAATCTTCGTAGAGCAGGCTGCAAATGTGCACAAGCAATAACTATCAACGCTGCAGCAGGTGCTTCCCTTCCAGAGGGACTGATGTGCCAGGGGAGGGAAGCAGTGCTGGAAAAGAAGGTTTGGTCCTTCAGTTTCTTCCTAGATATAAGAGACATGGGTAAACAGGCCAGTATGGGTCGGCTAATTAAGAGACGCAAGCAAACTCCATCTCCTGGTGGTAAGGATGAGAGAGTAAGCTAAGGAGCCATTGTCCTGGTTTCGGCTGGGATAGAGTTAATTTTCTTCACAGTAGCTAGCATAGTGCTGTGTTTTGGATTTA